ATAAATTGCAAGATAAAAACAATATCTAAACTATTTTAAAAGCTGTTTCTACGAGATTACCTCTAGTAAGTCTTCTCTTCGCTCCGCAAGTCGACTGCTAATGAAGCAATCCGCAGTCAGGATATTGAGCTGCGACCCTCTTGAATGCTGTTCCTCAATATAACGACCCATATTGAACGTAAATACATAAAGAAGTTAAAGGGATTGAAACAAATTTATAAATCCTACTTTAACTTGATTTTGACAAAATTGTGCAAATTAAAAACGAACCATTTTTTAACAGTAAAATTTTAAAATGACTTTTTTTGTGTAAAATACTTAAACCAGAGACATTTCTATTATGATTTTTTTTTAAACTTGATAAAGAAACTCTACTAACTATTATAGGTGTTCTTAAATCAGTACTTTATATTAATTTAACTAGAAGTAAGGTACGTCTGTTAAGTTTTATCCTAGTATTATAAATAGAAAACTTTAGTATTTTACAAGATAAAACTTGTTTCGTCTTCGTCTTGCCGAAGTTTATTAAATGTGTTTTGAAGTTCCTCTGATATATTTCACAAAACAAAAGAAAGTTATAATTGGCATTTTGTTTAACTCCTTAAGTTTTCTTGTGATATTTGTGAAAGTTTAAAGTTGATACTGGAAATTGAATACAGTTAAATTTAAACCACATATTTACTATTATATAATTTATACAAAATCAAGGACAAATTTACGGCGAATGGTTTGCAAAGACAGCCCCAAATGTAAATGGGAATTTATAATTTTCTAAACAATATTAAACCACAAAATTCTCTATCTGGATGATTCGAATTTTAAAATTACCTACCTTCTTAATAGCCAGTGAGCAACGCATTTGACGCAAACTGTCCACCTCTTTAATACCTAATCCTACAGTGATCTGCGAAATAATTTAATAAATATGATTTTAAACAAAATTTGAAAATCTTCCAAATATTATATATGCGAATGTTTAGACGGATGCATGTATGGATGGTTGGATGTTTGTTTGAAGGTATCTCCAAAACGGCTCAACGGATCTCGCTGATTTGGCATACAATAATGTTTTTTACTAATTCCGCGCGGACGGACAGCTATAATTATATTAATATGATTGAAGTTATTTATATTATACGTATAACATTTTCATTCGGTACACGTATTGTTTCATATCTCGTTTATAATGCAACTTCAATACAGATTTACAAACGTACCGTGAAAACGAGTCTTCTATTGTGTTATTGTGCTCACAAAGCAAAACAATGGGTATAGTTCAAGGCGATACGCAAAGTAAATGTTAGCAAGGAGCACGTAGACTTGTTTTAGATAAGATATACACTGAAATTATTCGGAAATTATTTTTAAATCTACATCTTTTGTTCATCTTTAGACACGTGGATTATTAAACAGTTGACTGTTGACTTCAAGTGTCTTGTAGTTTAAAATACTGTTGTCATCTCTCTCATTCTCGATGAAACAATAGAGACAACGATATACTATGCTCAAATGTAACGATAGTAGAATTTCGGTGTTATACGTAGATTTATTTTTGAACATGATTCGTGTTTATTTTTTTTAAGACATGAATTTTGTACTTTGTAAATATGCTATTATATTAAAAAACTTTTTTTTATCTTGTATTTTTTATGATTATTTATGTTGTGTTAAAATATTAATTAAACTGCATATTTTTGGTATAGTAATGTATTTTATTTCACTGTTTTTTGATACTACTATAAGAAAAATACATTTACAATAATTTATAAAGAATTTTATTAAATCTAAAAGTGAATTTATGATTTTTAGTACATAAAAGTAACGTACAATTGAAATAAATAATAAAATAGGCAAAAGTAATGATAATAGGTTGGGGAAAAAGTTTTTTCGCTTGTAGTATGAATGAACTTTTAATAAAGTCTTTTTGGCTTTACTATTTTTATCTGGCTGGTTTTAGTATCGTTAAAAATTTCATTCCAAAAGGAGATAATACCAAATTCAAATTAGGAAAATTTTACATTGCCATTATTTAGTAAAAATGCAACGCAAGCTGGAAATAAAATTGCGATGTGTCTTTTCAAGTCTGTAAGTAAAAAAATGTTTTCAATTTTCGTAAAAAATGCGAGAATCTTTTACCCCAAAATAATAATCAGACTACAACAATTCAAATATTTATAATACTATTTGATACGAGTAATAAGTTTATCTACCCTGAGTTTTCACCACAGAATCATTAATTATTTGTTCCAAAAGAAAGCGTTAATATTTCAAGGATAAAACATTTCACGCTAAAACTTGTTATTTCCAAACTATTTTCCGGAAAACACTTTATCTTTTTAACAATTTCCAAAGAAAAAAATTATGAGAATACTTCATAGAACAGTGGCCGCCGAAATATTACGTTTTAACGTTTACCTGATTAAGATTAATTCTAATTCTTTGAAATGGGATAAACATATTTTCTCATCTCTTTTTCCTTTTCTTATATGTTTGTTTACTACAAAGTTATAAATGGCACAAAACTACACAAATATTCATTTATATTTACACATTTTTTTAATAAATTATAGATAAAAATTATATTATTAATTTAGTATTATTTATGTACATTTTAAATAAATACGTAAACAAAATTTTAATCACTGTATGGTCTTGTAATAAAAATATAATTAAATAATAGTACTACACAAGTCTTTGGCAAATTATAATACTTATTTTTGATAAATTCTTTAAACATGATTTTTATTTTAATGATAATTTCATTAAATAATTAACAATAAATAAATCTTACTTTTACAGTTACAACATTTCTTATTTTCAATCTTACAAAAGTCAAGTTCATAAAATTTCTATTAAACAGATGAGAATTTTTTATACCATTACATCGGTAAAGACAAATTCAGACAAAAAAGTGTTACAAAGTTTAGGAGATCGCTTCTTTAAATTCTGTTTAAATGCATGTATAGAAACATATTTCTTTCTATTATCTTTAAGAGATCGTATGTTTTGTATAGGTTTTCGTGCAATGGAATCTCTCAGTAATTTGTTGTGGTAAACTGAGTTTATATGCTTTATAGTGTACTTGGGTAAGCTTGTTTTTTAAGTTGTTTCTCAGAGTTACTAAATTGTAAAATAAAGTTATATAGTAGTGAAGTAATCCTTAGAAATCATTGCTCGGCATTTTTATTTAAATAGTGTTTTATTTATGTAAATATACAAATGTAAAGCATAGAATGTATTATTTCAATTTTAAAGAAAGAATATCTAATATTATATATTGTTCACATGATAGTTATTTTTTTTTATTTAGAGAAGAAACTTACTAACATAATAACGGAATAAATAAAATTTGTATACACACAACATAATGCAAGAAATTCTATAACACACTATTCTATACATGAGTAGTCTAAGAATAACGTTTTAATGATATCGCTATACAATTCGTTATTCCGATTGTTTTTTGTTCAAGACAAAGTTACTGCACCGATGAAATATTTTATACAAAGGTCAATGATAAAAAAATTTCTATGTTTAATTAAATTAATTACAAATAAGATTACAAAAAAAGGTTAAATTTCACCCACTAACTAATTTTACAATCCTAAAGATAATCTCTGTAAAAAATTCTGTAGAATTAAATTATATTTACATGTAATCTTAAAATATTAGTCTAATACAATCTACACTATATTACTTTATAGCAAATTAAGAAACTACACCAAAGAAAAATCAATCAAGACATCAAATTTAACAATGAAGTTTTTTTTTCTCCAAGCGTAGTTTCCCCACACGGTACCTGTTATATTTACTTCTTATGTACTTAATCGTATTATTGTTTCTCTTATATATTAAATTATAATAACCTAAATCTAATTTATAAAGTTGGATATTAAATATGCCTTATAGTAGTCATTAAAATCTATATTTACATTACAAATAAAAAATATGCGTATGTGAAATAATATTGTTTGAACCACAATTTTTTAGATAAATTTCTTTGCATTTACGATGTATTTTAGTTATTTTCTCATACATACTTTTAGACATTTATTATTTAAAATCCTTTGGCGCGAATGACGTGCTTTCGTTACAAAGTCCCGTGTCAGAATGAATGTGAGGGGGACATAAACGACGTAAATGTTAGTAATGTTAGTGTTGAGTCAATACACTGGCTCATTTTCGGATTTTCTTCCTATTAATACATATCAGTCTCGATATTTTAAATTCCAAACGTAACTTCAATTTATATTAAAACACGCAAATAATTTGATATTATAAACCAAACCAGCAATTAATATTTATTTATAATAGACCGTAAGATGTAAAATAAATTCATACAACTTAATAATTACAATAATTAATTAAAACAAATCCTAACAAAGCTAAATATAAACAATAAACTCAACTACAAACTACTATCACAAACATTGAAATACTATATGTTCCGATTTAATGTTAGTACAATTTTAGACTACGTTGTATTAGTTTTATGAAAGTTACCAAACAAAGTTACATTTATCATTAAATTAATTAATAAATAATGAGTTATTCATTACATAATTAATTTAATGATAAATGTTATAAATAGGGTACTCGATAATATCATTTCAATATTTAAAATAAAATAATTTTATTCATTAATATGATCGTTATAAAACAATTATTTATTTTCTCAGTAGGATGTTTAAAATTGAAATTAAAGGCAGTTGCTTGATTTAATCAAAGTTACTATACATTTTTATGAATAAATTAAACAGTGTTCTAACAAAGTGATTTTCTACTAAAAACAATTAGAATATTTACAATAAGCTTATTACGTACTTAAAGAAGTATTACAAATTTTAGGCTTACAATATTATTAAATCCGTTGTACCAGTACCGATTGAATGAATAACATAAATCTACAAGAATTTAATCTAAGTTAATCTAAGTTAATTTATTTTATATTCTTAGTTATAAGGAAAACAAAATGTTTATACTATACACCAGATCTTCGCGTGCTATATATTTTATCTTATGTACTTCATATTGTTCTTTTGTTTTTAATACTAATTAGATCACAGTATCAAGGTCTTTAACTTCGACCTGAGTTGACAATCATAGAAAACTTTCTGAAGCCCTTATTTCTTCTCTGTCTACAGCCGAAACTATTTCAACACCTTCATCGTAGTTCTGTATTTTGGATGGATTTACACAATAATGTTGATCTGGGTCTCCGTATTGACTGTGATAAAATTCTTCTCTCATCATATGATTCAAATTAGAACATCTAAAGAATAATATCTCTTGGAACGGTTTCCTAAAATCTCGGTTCAATGTTGCATAAATTATTGGATTGAGAAGGCTGTTGACATATCCTAACCAAAGGAATAACGCACTGACGGCATCTGGTATTGTATCTTCATTAACGAATGGTCTTATAAGGGCTAATACAAAGAATGGTAACCAACAAATTATGAAGGCAGACATAATAATCCCCAATGTGGTCGAAGCTTTACGTTCTTTAGCAAGTTGAAATCTTAACTTTTTCTGATGTGGTGAATGTGATTGATGTAGCAAATCTTTAGCTAAATGACTTTTATTAGCAAAATTTGATAAAGAAGAACGAATTCTACTCGTAGTTAACTTGTGTGTACTTTCAGATGATGTACGTCTTCTACCGTCTTTGCTTTGTCTCTTTGTATCACGTAGGTTTTCAACATTTGCAGGTGGTCTGTTTATAGTATGGATTGGTTTATTCGGTGTTCTTGTGTGTAACATAGGGCATTGTGATTCGTTTGATTTCCTTTGTCCAGTGAAACATCTGCCAATCGAACTTTCTGTTTTCTCGGAGCTGCACTGTAAAGGGAGAAAGGATAAAATTATTTAGAAACAAGAAAGAATTTGGTGGTTAGTTGTTTTTTCATGAATAGTGTACCACGCAAGTGCAAATTATAAATTAGTAAATTTAAGGTAGAGCATAGCTGGCTAAGGGGTTAATCATTTGACTTGCAAACTACAGGCCCTGGGTTCGAATCCCGTCAATGTGTTTTTAATTTTATCATGTGCACATTAACTCGACGTTCTTATGGTGAAAGAAAACTTCGTTGTTCGATATGTGCAGGTTGGATAAACTGCACACATCTGACAAGGGGTTCAAACATATGCGTGAAGTCAACCAACCCGAACTTGACCAGCGTGGTTGACTATTGCCTAGTCAACCCTAAATTAGGGTAAGCTCCGGGTTGATGATGATTGATTGAAATTTAATGTGATAGAAAATAACATTGTGAATTGATAAAACCTTACCATAGTATTAGTGCTAGCAGTAGATCCTCTCGTCGGCTGTGGTGCTTGAGTATCCAATAGCTTCGCTTCTGTCGCGCCACCATTCTTTACATTTATCTCCAAATAACAGTGCGTCTCTAAATGTGATTGTGCTCGTTTTTCATCCTTTACTATCTTTCTAGCTGCACTAAATATCTTATAGTATACCACAACCATTACAGTTAGTGGTAAATAAAATGAACCGAAAGTAGCATAAATTTGATACCCTTGATTCTGAGATACAGAACAACTCGTCTCCGTCTTCTCATTACCTAATATTAATACTGGAGGAAGGGATATGAAAGCTGCACTCATCCAAACTATAAATACACAGAATAACATTCTTCTAGGAGTTCTTTTAACACCATATTCTAATGGCTTTGTTATAGCGTAATATCTGTCAACAGATATCATGCAGAGATTAAGAATACTGGCAGCACATGATAATACATCACTTGAGACCCAGAAATCACAAACTACAGGTCCAAAAGGCCAAGTACCAAGTAAATCATATATCATAGCTACTGGCATTACCATTGTAGCCACACACAGATCGCTCACCGCAAGAGAAACTATCAAATAATTACTTGGTCTTCTTAGTTTTCTCACCAAGCACACGGCGACACAAACTAAAATATTCCCCACGATAGTACCGAATATAACTATCATGAAAATTATTGCTAGAAGAATAGTCACCGATGTTGAATATTTTGAATGTTTTATATGTGAATTTCTAACTATTGTTGTTGTATTTTCTACTAATGTCCAGTTGATTGTCGAGTTCAAGTTGGTAATATTGAGTTCAGAGAGATAAATGTCATCTAAATCGTATGACGCGAACGCTAAATCTAATTGCAACGCCAAATATATGAATATGAGAAGACACGAAGGTAAAGTAACAAAGCTAGGCTGTGAACGATTGAATTTATAACCTTTTGCCGCCATACGACTCCCTGAATGGGGTACCGGTTACTGTCTTCGTGGTCCTATGTTTACCATGCATTGATTTCAATATATCCAGTCTGTAAAAGGTTAAACCTTCAATAATCAAGCTAAATCAAGTTTGGAATATTCTTTTGTCAGGTAGCATTCTCGACTTACAAAGCCGCCACCGACGATAGCTGCAAATAATGATTAATTGCCAAATTTGGTTTTTGTTAAGAACTCGACTAGCAGCCATTAGATAGTTGCGATGTGAATGCTTTTTTTTGGATTTTATTTATTTGATTTAATTAAAATTGTTCCTGCAAATTTAACGCTGGTAGCAAATCTGGCACATTTTGACAGTTTCTTCAATTAGTACCTGAAAACAAAAGAACTTTTTTTACAATCAAATATATTTTAATTACCATGCACGTACAAGACAAGTTTTCACAGTTATTTGCTGCCGCTTACGTGTGTTGAAATTCATCATCATCATCTCACTATACGTCCTCACCGAGGGGCTCGGAGCCTACCCTAAGTTAAGCGTGATTAGGCCATAGTCAACTACGCTGGCCAAGTGCGGGTTGGTTGACTTCACACAATCTTTGAATTCCTTCTCAGATATGTACATCACGATGTTTTCCTTCACCGTAAGAACGTTGGATAAATGTACATATGTAATCGGAAATCGAAAAACACATTGGTGCATGGCGGGATTCGAACCCAGGGCCTGCAGATTGCAAGTCAAGTGCTTGACCCCTGAGCCACCGAAGCTCCGTGTTAAAATTATCCTGGCTTAATTGAAAGTTATACAACTTAGTTGGATTTAACACTAACTATAATAATAAAAGGAAGCTTCTAGGGTGGTTATAAAAGACGCTGTAAATAACATTCTCTTACGAGTTGTATATTGTAAAATTTTAAATTAAGACAAAAATGTTTTTAAAAATTTTAACGAAATGTTTGTTAGAATTACTTATTACAAAACACTAAAACACTACTAAGGTAAACAAAGACAAGTTAAAGCGCTTCAAACTTTTAATTGCAAAAATAACAAAGAAAATCTATGCTTCGGTACTAAGTTCATTTTATACGTAATATTTTTTATTTGTTGCTCACGTGGATTATAAAAAGTATTACTTTCCAATGTTTAATCTTAATCTTATATATAAAATTCTCGTGTCACAATTTTCGTTCCCATACTTCTCCGAAACGGCTTGACCGATTCTCATGAAATTTTGTCAGCATGTTGAGTAGGTCTGATAATCGGCCAATATCTATTTTCCATCCCCCTAAATTTTAAGGGTAGTCCAGTCCACCCTAATTTTTATTTTTTAGCAAACACGCAGACGCAGTCGCGGGTGACAGCTAGTAATATTATAAATGCAAATGTTTGAATGGATGGATGTTTGTTTTCTGGTATCTCTGGTATCTATGGAAATTTGTCATAGATGTAGAACATAGTCTGGAAGAACACATAGACTACTAATTAAGATTTTTTTTGAATTCCGCGCTGACGGAGTCGCGGGTGACAGCTAGTACTTTATATTTTCTTTCGAATATTGTGACCTCATATACTGTAACTGAGAGTTTAGGAGAAACTAAATATTGTAATGAAAATATGAAACATTTTTATTCTTTGGTTTTAGGTTATAGATAATTTTATATTTTATTTATTAAACCTTCACACTGTTCCTTAGAAAGTCTGTAGTGCAGTATTTTATTGGACAGTTACTTCTAAATTCTATTGTATTTTCTCTAGTTTAGAGTAGACCGGTGTTGTTTGGATACGTTATTGCCTTTGGGCATCGCGCTTGTTAAGAATTTTCCCTGGACTCACGGCCACTGTTGTAAGATCTTTTATTTTGCACGAAGTTGTGTGGATATTTCCTTGTTTGAATTTTATAGATGCAGATGTTTGCGTTGAATCCAAAGAAATGATTGATTGTTGCAGTAATAGTGATTCTAGCAATTTCATTATCAGAACTACTTCGCTTTACGATGACTTATTTTAGGTTTTTTTAGCTTAGCTTTTTTCCTTTATTTGTGTTTAAAATTTTCGAAATAATATAATTTCATAGGTCTATAAATCTGAAATTAAAACGCCTCACACTTTTGCTTTGATGGTAAATCAAATATTGTTTAAAAGAAATCAGTTAAGTATTTCTTGTAATAAGGACGTGCAACTCCAAATAATTGTCAAGAAGCCTTTCCCTTCATTTTTATTAGATTTGCAATCCTTATGGCCCTCTCCTTTACGACGTAATAAAGTAGATAGCCTACTTAGTCTGTTTATATGTATTTAAGACGTGTTTTCTTTTAGTGTCTTTCACATGCTCATTAAAGATTTCCATCTTTTTTAAATCTTGACATAAATTAATTCAAATAAAGTGATATTAAAATCATCCAATTCTTTCAAAATGTAATTTGCATGACTCCATATTTTTCGAATGTTACTAGTTCGAAAAGAGAAACATTGTTTGAGAATTACCCAAACATGCTTACTTTTTATCCATACAATCCACGTAATCTAAGATCTAGAAAAATCATTTTGACCTAGCACAATTATCAATACATATAAAAGTCAATTGCTGTTCGTTAGTGTCGCTGAAAGGATTTATCTTATCTTGGTTTTGAAATATTCGTAGAGTTTTAGAGAAGGTTTAAAAGGTAAGAAAGCATCGAATAAATGCCGGGAAAACCTTAGAAACTGCGCTTTTCTTTTTCTCATATAATCGTTTTCTAAATAAAATGTAGAGTCATTTTGAATTTTATTGACTAATTATGTTTCTTTTTTTTTAATTTCGCGCGGAAAGAGTCGCGGCAACAGCTAGTACTTCATAAATAGAACGTTAGATAAACGAAGAGCCTTTAACGAACTTTTGATTAAATCAGACTTTAAGGTATAAAATCTCCAAACAAAGGCCTTTGTGATGTTTAAACTCGTGACCAACGCAAGCCTGCATATTACTAAGGTTAATTATTCAAAGGTTGTTGTTTATTCTGAAGCCTATCACTTCTTTATAAAAGAAGTTTAGAATACGTGGGTGTTTAGGTTAATTTAAGGTTATGAGATCCTTTTCTGATATTTAAAAATGGGATGACATTTTTTGGTTAGATATCTTTTAATCACGTAACAAGAGATGTAGGATTGTGGGTGTTTAATTAATTTAATAAAATATCTAACTAAATATATTAGATTATGATCCTGCCCAGGGTTTTTTAACATAATCGTTTTGTAATTTTTTGGTACGATTTTACTAATGGTACAACTTTTTTTTTATTTTTTATAGAGAATGTTATTTGTTTAAGTATTTCTGCAATGGACACAATTATGTCGTGGGTATGGTAAGATATCATGTCAGTACTGTAAAATAATTTAATGCCCGTTGTAAAATTTAGTCAGTACAACAACAATGTTACAGGTTAACTGAAGCTACTATACTTTTTTTTATATCATTACGTGGCAAACGAGTGAGTGGCCACCTGGAATCGCTGAAATAGTGAAGTGACCGATGCCCATAGACATACGCAATTGCATATGAGTTGCTTACCTTAATCGACGGAGTAGAGGATGCACAAAAAGAAAACATTTCCATGCATCCTCTTATCCGGAAAGGCCACTTCCACTTCCCATCCCTTCCTTATATGAAAATGGGTAAAAGGGAAAGAGGACAAAATTAGGCCTCCGGGACGCACACTTATCAGACGAAACGCGGAATTGCTTCCACTTGACACCTGTCTTCTGTGTGGTGGTGGTATTTCAACGGGCGAGCCGGGACAATTCGTGCGAAGATGTTAAAGCGGGCTCTACCACTGTTAACTATTTGTTTTATTTTTTTGCGGAAATATCGTAGTTCAAAATCTAAACAACAATTAAAGGTTACCTATAAAATTAATCCATTGTAGAAACAGATTACCATAACGTATGATAGTACTACGTATTTACTGTTTGTCAAACAATGCAATCTTTACGATCGTCGACTGTGTCGTTTGTGTTTTGTTCCTGATACCAATACTGTAAAATTAAATTCTCTTTGTTGGATTTTATTATTATATTTGCATTATTCTTTGAAGGAAAACATCGTGGTGCAATCTGCACATATCTGGGAAGAAATTCAAAGATATGTGTGAAGTTAACAATACCGCATTTGACCAGCGTGGTTGACTATGGCCTAGTCACTCTTAACTTAGGGTAGGCTCCGAGCCCCTCAGTGGGGCCGTATAGTGAGCTGATGATGATGATACTTTGTATTAATATTATTGTATATCTGGTAATTTGACTTGAAAATGAACATTATTTTTATAGTTAAAAAGGTTAATCTATTTTTAAACCTATAAGTAGTAGTTTTTGACATTATTAGTTAGAATCCTTTGGCGCGAATTTGAATGAATGAATGAATTTTTGAATGAATGAATATTTATTTTATATGAATATTTGGACGTCCTTACGTTACGAAGTCCAGTGTCATGAATAGTGAGGGGACACAAGCGTCGACATTTTAGTAAGGCTAGTAATGGGTCAACACACTGCCACATTTCGGATTTTCTTCCGAACAGTAGTGATAAGTAAATACCGTTTCGCACTTTTAGTTCTTACTGTACAGTAGAATTGTCCAGTTGAAACTAAATTGTCTAGGAAAAACTGAGAACTGTACAGTTCAGTTAAAACTAAACGTGTGTAAGGGAATTGTGCTCTGTTGGTAGGAAATCAGGACATAATAAGCGTGGATTTTTACGGCTTACTAAACAAAGACATATCCATCCTCTTTTAATTATCTTTTAAATTAGACACTTGTGCGCATGTTTCCGCAGTGGAAGGCAACTGTTAAGGTTCATTGACACCAAAATTTGAATGAGACCTGAATACTTAAAAATTAGTCCACCTTATACTTTATTAAGCTACGGTTTAAGTCGGCAAAGTTCTCACAAATTAAATGTAACCGCCGCCTTTGAATTCCCGCGAACTAATTACTTAAACGGAATCTTATTCGGAGCTTTTTAAATTCTTTATCAAAGACATCAAAAGGATTAGCGCCTCGAGTGTTGAAGAGTTATTTACAAAATTGTTTCCTGTTAAATATTAATCTTAGAAATCAAATAAAAAGTTTATAACCTAATCGAAATTGTCTTTGCACAGAACTAAATGTTTTATGTATAAAATTCTCATGTCACAATGTTAGTTACCTTACTCCTTCGAAACAGCTTGACCGGTTTTTATGAAATTTTATATGCATATTCAGTGGGTGGGTGATTAGGCTATATAATTTTTAACCACGCGTCGACGGACGGGTGACATCTAGTATTAACAAAAAAAAGTAATAGAACTTTCTGAACTATAAAGG